CATGAGTTTAAAAAATGTGAAGCATAACAAAGTACACGCATGTGGATTTCTTTCTCTTGTTCTCCTCACTGCCCAACACAGGTGCAGCCACTGGTCATCTCCGAGATCATCTCGCCCAGCAAGCGCTTCAACGCGCCGTTCCTGCAATCGCAGCGCAAGCGCACCGGCGTCCTGAGAACGGCGGAGCGCAGCCTGCAGACGGAGCCCTGGTCGACGGGCAACGTGATCGCTACCGGCCTGAAGTACGGCCTGCGCGGCCAGAAGCTCGCCGTGAGTTTTGCCTGCGTGTCTGCACTGGCACAGCACGGTCCGAAGAAATCCAACCTCATGAATAAAATAGCGTTGCCGGGCGCTACGCAGCCCTACAGTGCATTTCAAAACTATAGACGCGTAGGGTTTTTGAAATATTTCAAATTTGGCTGGAACTTTTTGAGAATAGTTTTCGGAATATTGCTCAGGATCGCTCCACAATTACTCTCATAATAGTTTCTAAAGGATTGGATAACAGACGCCCAATTTGGAAAAATTTATGCACAAAGTGATCACAGATTTTATGTGGTATAGATGCTGGCATAACGGTTTTCGCCTAGGTACGCGTCTATAGTTTTGAAATGGACTGTAGCACTACACACACACTGGTCTGTGCACTCGAACGCGGCGCTGCTTTATTCATGAGGTTGGATTTCTCAGACCGGCACTGTGCTACGGTGAAACCTGTCTAAGACGACCGCTCAAGGGACCTTCGCAAGGTGGTCTCTGTTACCAGGTGGTCTCCTTATCCAGGGTCATTTGACTGGAAGTAGCCTCCCTCGGTCGTGGTTTCAGTGGTCTTCTAGGACAGGTGGTCGCCTTATCCGAGTGGTCACCTTGACATGTTTTACTGTAGTTTCAACCATAACCATACAGTAAAACCTGTCAAAGAGACCACCCTGATAAGGCGACCACCTGTCCCACTTGACCGCTACAACTAGGACCAAGGGATGTCATTTCCCGTCAATTGACCCTGGAAAAGGTGACCACTTGCACACAGCAGGCATGTTGAAGGTCCCGTGAGTGGCCGGCTTCGGCAGGTTTCGCGAGGATATGTACGGTTGTGCTCAGTGAAATCCGACCCAGAGTGCATACTCGACACCTTGAACTTCCTAGGCACTCGGCACCCGGGAAGTGGCGCGAATGCGGCTGGCCGTATATGCGTCATGTAGCCGTGGTTGGCTATAAAACCCCTGCGATCGCCACGCAAAGTGTGGTCATTGACTACCCCAGCCATGTTTTGCTTGGAATAAAATAAATAAATATAATCAAGAGTACATAACCCCCAAGAGTGTGCAACTCCAGCTATGGGGTCTGCGACGGCAGAACTTCACATCACGTGATGAACCCGTACACATTATTTGCCCTCTGTCACGGCTGTTCCGAGTGCGACATTTATCAATATGGCGGCGTACCGTAGCAACCCGCATCGCAACAGCTCGCGTACGCACAGCGTGCCGACGCGTGCAGTCTTTCTGCACATTTTTCAAATTTATCGAAGAAAGTTTTTGTTTTGGGGGCGATGGATTCGTGCCTTGGAGAGGTCGTATGAGGCCATGCTGGAGGAGAATAAGTCTACCAAGACCTGGAAGCCTCCCTTCGGCGAAGTACTGAAGTTAGTATGTCCTGGAGTCAATACAGTCCATAGAGGAATTGTTTTCAAGACGATGCAGTGTAATAAATTCTAGTAATGTAGTGCATCATGGAATTAGTTGTGTTTGAAACTTCGGAACAAGAAGGGGGCACGTTTGCTTGACTCACTACCATCATGACGTGAACAGATGGAACCCCACTGCTCTTATTCTAGAACATGTTCTCCCCTGAGGACAGCTTACAGCCAGATTTCCGTGCATAAGAAAAGAGCACAAATAAATCGTTAGACTGATTGCAATTCATCTTGGAGAAGGAGAAAGATAGAATTCGATCGTCTGCTACTCTCTCAACGCAAAGTTGATGACATAGCAGCTACATGTACGTCTCTTCATGCGTATGCTCTTCACCTTGGGATCAATGTGAGGATATTAGGATTGCTGGAAATCAGATTCTGTATACTATTGGACAGCAGTTTCTGCATTGCACATGCTCCACAGTGCTCATCGGCAAGGATGTTGAATTTGCGTGTAACCCTTCACCACCCTACTCTCCATACTATTCCAGATCAGCACTAACTGAACATTGAAGTGTTTCATTTCCAGTTGAATGTGCTCCTCCAATAAGTGCGGCATTGGAGGCGGTGATATTTATTGCCACAGTTGCACTGCTGATCTTCGTCATGAAAGTAGCAACGGATGATGATCAAGTCAACCAGTGGGCTTGCAGTGATAAGCAAAGTACCACAATACATCATCAAGTGTCATAGCATGGCGGAGTTGGTTGCCCGCAACGCTTCCATGTTGGTGTTGTTAGTGAACAAATAGAGGATATCTTCCAGTCTCCAACTTTTAAAGCACATGGACCTGCTATAGGTGTTATTCTTCTATCAATGCTTGTTTCAAGTCACAGAATTATTTAGCTTCTTACAGCTTTGATTTAATTCGCCGTATTGTAATTAATGTGAAGAAGAGGTTGATGCGACTTCGGCGATACTTGGGGAATTGTGTGTTGCTCCCTACGTGGGAGCTTGCGCTATTCCTGCCGACTTGAATTCTCACTTGACCGACTTGTTATTTTAAAATGAATTCATGGACATCTGTCAATTCAGCAGGTGAACTGCATTGCCATCAAGCCCTGAGCCAGCTCCATAGGAATGGCACGGTCATGAAGATGCGTGATGCTGTGTATCTTATTCGCATCAGAATAATAACCTGGTTGTTTCGGCTACACACTCCGGTAGCAACAGATACTCTGCATAATGCAGCTTGTACAGTAGTCCTCACTAAAGTAGAAAGCAGTTTAGGAGGGACTCTAGTGAGGAGTGTACGAGGATAGCCTATTAGTGTTCTACATAATCATTTGCATATTGAACATGTTACATGTAATTATCATGAACGCCGAGAGTGGTAAAACCGGGTACGGCCATCACCAGCGGTTGCGGCCCTGTCCTGAGTGCCATGCTATGCTTAGTGCTGATGTAGTGCAAGATATATAAGCTGCATCATGGTTGTCGTTTGTTGTTGTTCAATTACTTGAAGTATTTCAGTATGGTCTTTACGCATGCAAGTGTGTGCTTTTCAGCAGGATCGTCGAAAGACTACATTGTGCGTGGCCTAAATCTGCAGTAACACTGGTAATACTAAAAGCCCATGCCTATGTGTCTACACGCAAGGCATCAGACAGATGGGGAATCTTGCATCTCTGACATTTAAAATCTCTACACAATGTCCTGCTTCTACATACATTTCGAAAGCATGAATTTCAAAAAATGTTGATTGGATGCATGTCTGATTTGTACTTGCTAACATCCAGAACAAAGCATGCACGGATCCCTCCTATGGCGGACGAAACCGGGGTCTTCATTAGACATTGAGGCAGGAGAACACACTTCCACTCGTCCTGCATTATCAGCAAACACTTGCAATTGACGTCCAAGTACGCCACGCAAATCGACTTGGGCACGAAAACGATAATCTGGGCGGCAATGAAAATATAACTACGACGTAGGAAAAGGACAAACCTTTCAATGAAAATTGGCGTGAAGGCTGCCAAAAATTCTGCGCCCCTTAGGAGGAAGCCTCGAATGTGAGCCAATTCTGATAAACGCCAATGGCCGGCACGACGAGGAAGAACGAAACGAAAAAGATCGTAACTTCACTTTCCCATTGCGCATTTTGACGATCAAAATATCTGCTTGCGCAGCTTGAAGGCAGGAAGGTGAATTCGCTTAGACTTCGCGAATCCAGCGTAGAAAACGGCTGGAATCGACAGAAACATAGGCGAAACCTTGCCGAATATTTCCAGAGATTTGAAAAAGGCAGCAAGGTCGCGTACGACAGCATCATGGATCACTGGGGCGACGGGAAAATGTCGTACCGTACATAATGTCGCTAGATGATGCATGCATAACAGCCGTGCTGTGCATGATAGATACAGGGTTGTACGCAGCCCAGCTTTGGGTACAACTCTCTTGTGCCGGTTGTGGTCACTTTGCACTGTTTGCCAGCATAACCTTTTGAACCATGCCACGTGATGTCATGTGAAGTTCTGCCGTCGCAGCACAGCATAGAGGTTGTGCAGGCAGTTGCACACTCTTGGGGGTTATGTACTCTTGATAAAATGTACAAAATACAATGGTGTAATATCAGAACTGGTCCATGGGTGCCAGTTTTTGCACTTTTAGTAATGGTTTGTGTGGCCAAAGGACAGCATGATTGTACAACTTGTGATCTCCTGTAGGCATGCCCTACATTGCTTGTGCGTACTAGAGACAGGTTGTGTCTTTTACAGTCGGCACATGTCTTTCGCAGCCGTCGCACCGGCCAGGATTTACTGCTCGTGTTCTGTGTGTACACTCATGGTGGGCAGGTCAGTGCGGTCTATACTGGCTCTCACCTTTGTACTGTCTCTGCCTATTGTCACTTTGTGTAACGGATGTGCTGGCTTAATCTCCTTCTGTCTTGTCCTGGCTTGCTCCCGTGTGTGTGTGTGTCTATGTGTGTGTGTTTTGTTTGTGTGCACCAGGATTTCATCAACCAGAAGCTCTCGCTAGACTGGGGTGTGCCGCGTCACCGAATGAACAACTGGACACGGCGCTCACAGGCCCTGGGCCTGTCCGCGCAGGAGTCCGCAGACTTTGTACGCCAGAACATCATTGCCTTTCAGAAGCGCCGCGTGCTCAACGAGCAGTCTCCCCACCGCTCGCTGGATGAGAACGTGGAGTACGACGACGACAACACCTCCGGCGGCGGTGCGTCCTCTGATGTCCAGTCGTCCGCCGATTTCGAACTGGAGCTGGAGAATCGCCTGCGCGCTCTCAAGGCCGACACGCAGAGCAAGCGGGGGCTGCGCCGCGATGCCACCCCGTCGCAGACCCTGCGCACCGTGGCGCAGATGGAGGAGGAGGACCGCGGCATTGTCGTTGAGGAGATGGAGGAGCGGGCGCCCGAGCCCCAGACGGAGCCCAATCCCAGCGACATGCTGTGGCAGCTGAGTATCGATGATGACCATGCCGCACGGCGGACTGCAGCTGCTGGAGAGAAAGATGCCGAGGACGGTGCGGAAGAAGGCGCAGCAGTTGATCCAGCAGAGGAGCGTCGGAAAAGGTGGAGACGTGGTTGATACATTTTTAATTAAAGAATGTTTTGGTAGGTTTGACCTGTACTGCTTTGGGTACTGAAGCGTGTCCTTGCAGCTTTTCTGTCGAGGTTTCGGTAACGGGCTGTTTCTCCGAACCTCCCCCAGCGTTATCGCTATGGTCACTGCCGATCCTCATAGCTACGATGTTTGAAGGAATTGCATCTTGCTAAGCTAAGTTGGATGCCTGCGGGTGTTGTTCCATATAGTGTAGAACCCTGCCAACAAGATCAGGGACTGCGCCGTTTGTGGCAACTGAACATTTCCATGTTAGTTCGTTATGGACACTTTCGCTACTGTTGAGCTGGCCCTGCATGCAACACTCTTGCCGACTGCTAGGCTTTAAGCCTTGTGCTATATCTTGAAGCCTGATTTACCTTGCTTTTGGCTTGCTTAGACATGCCTTGCTTTTCAGAAACTCAGGTTTCAGTACTGAAAGTGCTGTTGAGACAACTTGTTCACGTACAGTTCTACTGCGAAGCGAGAGTTGCAAGCTGCCATGCATTTCCTGCTCACCTCTGTTTGTCTTAGGTGCCATGCGCTGATGCTAGGCTGGATATTTCACATCCTTGGCTTTGCTTTACCATAACTTATTGCTGTATCTGCTGCTGGTCGGTGGAATGCTTTGCTTATCTTTGTCACACAGTGCTATTTTCATTTATCAGTATTACTTTTTAGGAACCAACAAGGTACTTGAAGTACATGGGACCTTGTACTGCGATGTGCAACATGAAAACTGTTGTGTCGAATTTGTACTTGTATATAGATGGCCCTTGGCGGATGTTTGTCTTTTTTTTTTGTTATTGCTGCTGCTGGTGCTGCTGTTGGTGGTGATGGTGGTGGTGGTGCTGCTGCTGTTGGTGTTGGTCGTGGTGGTGCTGCTGCTACTGCTACTGCTGCTGCTGTTGGTGGTGGTAGCGGTGGTGTTGAAGAGACATTCATGCTTACTTGCACAGAATTGGCACTGAGATTCTCTGCAGTTTGTTTACCTTCAATCTGATCATGCAGTGCCCAGGTTATCAGTTCAAGATGATTGGAATAAAGTTAACCGGTGTATACAACTAAGTCATGAAGCCATGCAGCAAACTGTTCGCATGAGACTGACCTTTTCCAGCATCTACTACTTCCTAACGTCACCACCCTCAAGCATCAAGGCGTATATGCACCTTCTCCGTGAAATAATGTAAACCTGGAAACGTTCGCGCTGGTGTCAGTTCGCGATTTGCGAGCACAGACCAATCTGCATCTGAAAGTATTTTGCGATTGAAGTCTATTTCCAGTATAGAGTATTAGACGGTTGTAGTCTTGTAGATATTATGATGAAAAACACAGTAACTGTTACCCACCGGTAGTCTACATGCTTTATCGTGTGACTTTTGCAATTCTTCCTTGTCAAACTCCAGGCCGGAAAGGCCCAAGGACAGGATGTTAGAATTTCGGCAAGGCTTCACAAAATGAGGAGAAATATGCACTGCACGGCTGAATATATGGAGGAGCAGGTTCATAACCGAGGTTTTGCGAACTTCAAGTGGATTTTGAGCCTTAATTCGGCCAACCTTTGCTTTCAAAAGTCTGCAGGACCACTTCGGATGAATAGTCGGTAGTGAGAGTTGTTTGTGTTTAGAGGCAAGCATATGCACGGACAGGTAGCAGGCAGTGGTAAATCATAGCATCGTGGATATATTTCTTCTGGGACCCTCACTCCGACCTGCATTGCTATCCATAGTATCCACGCTGGCTGACGACATCTCCGAGCCAGCAGCCGAGAAGGACAGCTCCTGCGAGTCCGGCGTCTGTTTGTGCCAGAGGTCGTTGTCGCGAGTGCGATCGTGCCGCCGCCGATTCTTGCAGGTGTGAAAGAGCGCCGGGACGTGAATCAGGACGAGAAACGTCGTGCACGCCATGGGCACTGCCAGGACGGCCGTTTCGCTGAGTTCAATATTCTCCGAGCCGCCGTCACCCAGCTGCTCCAGGCCTTTGAGTATGCTGAAAGACATCAGTGACAATGCCCCAGTGTACAGTGGAGCGCTGACCTGGAACGCCATCTTCTTGAGGCCCTGGCTGAAGCGCCGGCGCATGTATGCGCCCGTCACAGCCATGATGGCCAGAGCGATGGTCATGAACAGTGCCTCGGCGTACTGCTGGTCGGATCCGTCCGTGCAGATCAGAGTGTGGTGCGCGTGCGCCTCCAGGTGGTATCGCGGACGAGAGTGCTCGGACGACAGCAGTGTGAACGGCACCACAGAGCCGAGTGCGATGAACAGAACCACACTTAGTCCCACTAGCTGCTCGCGAAGACTCTGAAACAGCTTCTCCTTTGGCTTGCGCCAGCAATGGCGGCGACGACGGCGAACCTTGCATGTCTTGTCCGCGAACGAGGAAGCGGCCGCAAGGAAACCGCCACACAGGCTTTCCGACTTGCTCACTGGCCGGTTCTTGCTCTCCGCTGCCACTTGAAATGCGACGCGAGGCTTGTCTTGGACGTCCAGCAGCTCTGCAGTTGGTGGTGATTGCGCATTCTTGATGTCGCCAGCTTCGAGCCGAGCCAGTTTTCCATCATCCGCCTTGTACGCTGATGCAGTTGGCAGTTGTGTTTCCTGAGAGGCATCATCTGACAGACCGGCTGCAGAACCATGCATATCGGAGGCGATTCCCTCTTCGACTACATTCTGCAGCGGAGTTGCCGGGGTGATGTTCACGGAGATGCTGCTCTCTGCTATTCCGATGTCGTGTGAGGTGGCCTTCCGCTCCATGCTCTCCACACTAGTGTCAACCATGTCGCTAGCACTTGGCGCCTGTGATTGGTCCTGGTCGCGGCCCCGGCGACGTTTCGGCATGGCAACGAACAGCTTTACAGCATGAATTAGCACCGGCACCGACACGGTCATCAAAGCAATGGCTGTCAGGTACACACGCGCAATGCATGTACCCTGCGTGGGCTGTGTAGCGGACAACATAGGCTGCACACCACCCAACACCACCCCCATCATGGATGCAAGGCTCAACAGGGGAGTTCCCAGAGGCCAGATCGTGCCCGACGGGACCTCCAGCGCTGCGATGATCCCGAGAACGCTGGCAATTATGTTGCAGCAGCCGACGAAGAGTCCGATTGCCTGCAGTGGACTGGACGCATGGAGAAACTCGATCTCCAATGCAATGCAGGCATCGCGCGCAGCAGTGCTTGTTGAGTCGTGCGGACACTCAGTGCAGGGCATGTGCGTTGTGTTGGCATAGTAATGCACATTGCAAGGTACACACTGCCAACAGCAGTCGAGCCGAATGGTAGGGTGGATCACGGCACGCTCGGTCCCGGCAGGACACTTTGTCCGACAGGTCACGTGGGTCCGCCGAATAGCAGAGAGCGTTTGCGGATCCAGCGGCATTGTCATGTTGAGCACAGCACGTTGCTCTTGCCGGAGGAGCAGTGTTTCTGCCAGTCGTTCGCACCCAGTGATACTAATGCGAGCAGCAGCCTTGATACTTGCAATTCGATCCTCCAGTGTCTGGATTGTACCATTCTGTAGCAACGCATTGACCGGGTCAACCGAAATTTCTCCCATGGCCTCTAGCGTCACGGACATCTTTCCGTTGCGGTTGCTGGCGTTGGCACGGAATACGCTAAACTCTGCATGGGATCGCTCGGCTCCCTCCGGGGAGAATGAAAAGGGCTTATTGGAGACGGGGCTGAAGAATGACACCGTCTGCAGGGACCGGTGCACGAGCTCGCGTACCTGCACCGGCTTGAGCCTGCGGACGAGCTGCATGGCCGTGGCCAAGTAGCTAGCCTGCGAGCATCGCACTTCGGCCGGTGCTGCGAACGAGATCTGCGCCGCCCGTCGGGCTCCGGCGGTGCATGCTTGAGTGACCGTGTTATTGATCGCATGCGCCACTACCAGCACGGCCTCGCGAGCACGGCTCGCCGCAATTCGGGTCAGCGACGTCTGCAGGCCTCCACCGTTCTCTCTCAGCTCCTCCAGTTCTCTGGCGAGAGCGCGTGCACTGGGGAGCCACGGGTTTGTCGTGTTGACGGGAACGAGTGGTTCCGGGCACGTAATGCCCATCTCGGACATCTTGTGCCGTTGCAGGATGTCCTCAGGAATGCGTGAGCAGTACAGGTTAAGCAAGTGGCGTTCAAACCCAGGTTCGACGTAGTACTTGGCTCCGATCAACATGAACCTGTTTGCCCAGTCCTTGAGGGTATCGTTGCTGGATTGGTCCCGCAGTCTTCGTGACGGGAAGGCCGCCTGCCGTGTTACGAACATCACAGATGAGCGCATGTGCTGGATGCGAGGTATTGCCGGAAGAGCGGTCAGGAAACGATGGACACTGCGGTGTCGTGCTAGCAAAACAAACACAGTCGCGTCGGCGGCTGGGTGCGAGAGCAGCGACTCCATCCAAGGCCGTATGGCATCGGCGTAGTTCTCCATCGGCCGAACCATTGGCAGGGCCTGGACTCGCATGGTGCAGGCAAACCTGTTTCCGGTCTCTTTACGAACGACCCGCAGTAGGGTTTGTCCGTAGGAATTACGCTCGTGTAGCACGACAACCTGCATCCATTGCTGGACTTCTATCAACTTGAGCATGCCTGCGACCAGCGGCTGATCGGATGTGATTGTCCGCGTGAGCAGGCCGTAGTGGCACTTGTCGCTGAGCTGTGGATCTGTTGCCGTGTAGCTGAGCAAGGGCATGCCGAACTGACTGGCGAGCTTGGCCAAGGATGCGGTGAGGTCATTCTCCGACGGGCCCAGCAGCACCATGGCCGGCGGAACATCGGCGATGGCGTGCACGCCTGCCACGTCCGTCAGTTCCCGATCCGCTGCACAGTCCGTCCTGCCTGCCCAAATGAACGACAATGCCGCGCTCAGCGTGTCGTGCTCATTGCGGCAGACGTCGCGCAGGTCAAAGCCCAGCACAAACCCGGGCAACAGGTGTGGCGAGTTGTTCACGTCGCGTTCAACGGTGTACCGTATGGCCTCTGCCTCCTGCCAAGATGGCTTCACTCGGCCGGAATCTCGCGAGCAGCGTCTCAGCTGTTTGTTCCAGCTGGTGATATCCAGCACTCCGGCTAATTTCATATGAGCAATGGGTTCACCGTGAACGCACCCATCCGGCTCACACGGTCCCATGAAGCCAGGTGGGATTTCTTTTACGATCGCGTTTGAGTCACCTGATCGAAGCTCTCCGCCAGCTATAGGTCTCCTAGTTGTTGCCCTTGTAGGGCTCGTGATGTCTTGCTCTGAGGTAGTGTCGATGCTCTTCTTCCCAGGTCTCACCCATGCTTGTGTGTTTGCAAGTGGGTCTGGGGAGTGTGTTGTCTGGGTACTATTGACAATAGCCTCCGTTTGCTCCCGCTGCAATGTTGTTCCGCCACTGTCATCACGTCCCTGTGCTGCTGGCTGGGCCGTCACGCAGGCTCCAAGGAAGCATGAGCAGCAGAGAGCCACGCTCAGCGAGCACACCATCAACGTTTGGTAACCCATGTTCGTTTTTGCACTTGTGAAGATCTTGCTTTTCAAGGGCCAATGTCACATTGTCAACTACCTAGGACCCACAGGACATGTCACCTGCTGCTGCTGATGATCCTACAAGCTCACAGAACACCACAGCGCTGTTGCAGCGGTGAGCAGTTCTTCCTGCCAGAGTCCAATGTTCACCGAAATTTATTAGAAGCGGCAAAGAGCATCTCCCTGCTGGCGAGTTTCTGACTTGCGAGCAGATGACCAAAGTCTTGTGTTCTGTTTTCGCTCAGAGTGGCGGATGAACGCCAGACAGCCACAGTTCACCCTTGTCCATGCAACCAGCCTCGCACAGGCCGAGGGGACGATAAAATACTGCTGCTGGGTGCTATCCTCGAGCACCGTGACTTCTGCTGAATCGGCCAACACTGGCACGGGCAGACTTCACCCGGCAACGTTCTATCGCTGTCGAAAGAAGAAAAGTGACTGCTCTGCACACACACAGGGCTAGTTCGTACCTCAAACTCAAAGCAAGATTTCGTAGGTTACAAAGGCAAAGGGTCTCCACTCTCCAGTACACCCGCTGTGCACCTTGCGGAAGATCTCCTC